CCGACCATCGCCCCGTCCGGGCTCAGCAGCACCACCCCTCCGGCCGAATGGGACCCTAACCTCACAGCTCCATCCCACCTACAAATGAGTTGATTCTGGATACCAGGTGGCACATCCGAGGTGACCCGCACAGGGGCATACCCCACAACCTCCTTTGGAAGAGAATCCCACTCCCTCACTTGCTGGTGATATTGCCGAAGAAGGGCTGGTAGCCCAAACTGCTTGCCCTTAAAGACTACCCAGTTTCGAGACTTCCAGATCCGCCAGAGTACCGCTACAATTGCCATGACCTGGGAAGGGTTCCTAGCGATTATATGTTTTTTTAATAAATCCTTTAAATGAAATCCGAGAGAGGCATCTAATTATAGCTCTCCGGTCTCCAATTAGTTAGCCATTCTCTCTCCTTAATATCAATATCCTAATATTACTAATATAACATTTCAACTTAATATTTTCATATTTTGGCTTAGAAAAATTAAATTTAATGATATTTTCATAATTGTATTCATTCATGGTCACATTTACTCGAAAGTCCTATCTGTGAGATGACATTGCTAATTATAGTTTGGAGCCAAGACATGGAAATTAGTATATTGGATATCTCATATTTGCTTTTACAAAAACAAAAAATGGTAAGTATAAGTATGTATTAGTTGTGTTGTTGCATTGCATGTTGTTAATTGGGCAACCATTGTGTGAAATTCAAAATATTTTGTTTGTCATGTTTTCATATTTTTTGGATTATATTTGTCCGCAGTTTTACTTTTCAGTTTTTTTCGTAGTATGCATACCAGAATATCTTTACATTGTTCACCAATACCCTTTTCTTTAAGGTGGTAGACTTTTCTCATATGTGAATGAGATTCTCACTATTGAAGAGAGTATTTAACACAAAACCATAATTTTATTTGATCTAACAACTCAATAAAGGAGTTGGGTCTCCGATCATGTTTCTGAGCAGTGACTCGCATTGATTACAAGAAAAATATTATTCTTCACCTTGCTATAATAATTATCGACTAAGAAAAGCAAACTAATATTTTCACGATGACCACACGAGTTTTCACTCTATAATTCAAATTTGGAAATATTGAATATTGTTACTTTTCTGAGGATAATGGTATTTGGGTGCAAATACTCAAACACGTGATTAAGGATTGACATTCATTGTTTCGAGAGCACATAGTATATGCTTTTGAGAGCTTCAAACTGAGTCTACCAACAACAAATTACATGCCAATTTCAAACAAATTGATTAACAAGTTGAAATCTAAAATTTTGCTTTGGATGTAACGAGGAGGAGAAGAAGAAAGAAATTATTGATGGTGGAGATAGGTTTCATTAATAAAGATAAATGTGATGTTATTGCTGGAAGTGATAATTTTGATGATGGAGCAATCGAAAAGAAGTAAAAAAGAAAATTCACAGTAGTCTTTGTCTCTTTGACATCAATCTGTAAATCGAAGTGTGATTTGCTTATGATTTTTATGAGTGAGTTTCTTTTTTTTTTTTATGGTTAGAGTGAGTTTCATTTAATGGATTTAGTCATTTACTTTAAGGGTAAATGCCACGTTTGGTCACTGAGATTACTAAATTGTGTCATATTTAGTCACTAGAAAAATTTAATATCAATTTTGGTCACTCGAATTTCGGTCACTCGAATTTTATGGTTCTTTTTGCTAATTGAGATTGCTTCTTTGTCAAGCAATTGTAACTTGTACAGTTGGCCGATTTGGATCATATCATGAAACATGTGTTGATTTTATTAAGCGTTTGGTTTAGAGTATTTGAGTGATGAATGAGTATGAGGAACACTACAAAATTAAGAAGTATTGGAGACAAATGTTGGGTACGATTATCGTTGTTTGTCTTCAGAAATATGATTTTAAGTGAGATAGAGGACATTGTTTAAACTTGTCTCCATAAAATTAAAAAAAAACATATAATTTATTTCAAAATTTTATATTTGTCCCTAAAAAGAAAGTTTCAAAGTAAGTAGAAGATTGCGTAGGATTCTCTATTATCATCCGAAAGATATGGCTTAATTTTATTATGATTATTGGACTGTTTTACAGTTCTAGTGCTAGAATTATTTCACGGAGCGAACTAGTTGGAACAGGGTTCCAGTTCGAAACAAAAAAAAACTACTTCACGAAAGTATATTGCTTAAAGTTGTCTCCGTAAAACAAGAAAATACTTTTGAGTTGATATTCAAATTTTTAACATTATGCTATAAATTTAATTTGTAATTCGAAGCACCAATTCGATAGAATATAGTAGAAAGACTTTTGATATTCTTTTAGATTGATCGTGAATTAATCATTAGTATCTTTTTTTCTATCCAACTATGAATTCACAAGTTGTTATATGGATACCAGGATAATTTATTTTTCATTTTGGAATTAGTGATGATTTTATAAGGCGTGGAATTGTTTCAAAGAATAACTAGAAGATAAGCTTAATAAAAGACCTTTTGTTTGCTCAAAGAGGTCAAGGAAAAATTATGCTCAAATTGCGATCAAAATAAACTAGTTGATCGTACAAACTACATATATAGGTGCCAATTTGTTACCTCGAAGACACCTATTAATGTATAAAATAGTAATTTCTAAAATTGCATAAGTGACCATTAGTCAGTTAGAAAGAGAAAGACTAAGGGACAACTGGTCGTCCCTGCAAGATACTTTGGGGGTCTATTAGTCGTCTTTTGAAGACATAGGTTAAGAGATAATTGATCGTTTCTGCAAGTTACACATGGGGACATTCATCTCCGAAAACACATGTAAAGGAGTCATTGGTTGTACCTAAATGTTATATAGGTAACAATTTGTTGTACTTGAAAGACATATAAGTGACGACTTATTGTCCCTAAAAATATAGTATAAGGGACCATTAGTTGCCATCAAATCAAATTTTTGCGGACGATAGATTGACTTAAAGTTGATACATGGATGACATGTTGATCCTTTAAAAAAGGATAATTTATTACCCCTAAATAACCACAATACTATAATGAAATGGATTATAGGGAGAAGTGGACTATTAAGTATTAATTTATTTTACACGTTTGATCAACCATTTCTAATCTTATTTTAGGGAAATAGGTCATTGTATTTCCTAATCCTAATCCTAACACTACTATATAGACATTCCCCGTCAAAACATATGAAATTCTAAAATTCTAGGCTCATGCGCAATTCATGGAAGGGCTCTCATGTCATTTTGGATGAACCTTTTATCGGCCTTGCTATCCAGCTTTCGCTGCTTCAGTTCCCTTCATTGTCTACATGGGTTCGATTAATACATATGGGCTTGGTCTTGCTATATTATTGGCCCTAATCCATTAAAAGTTAAAATACATTAAATAGAAATCCAAAAACTCAAATGATAACTGTCGTATAAAGCAGTATGGGTTTTATTAGCTGGGTTTCATGTGATCATGCCACTGTAACTTTTAGTTTTGGTTGCATTCAAAATTTTAAAATTCTAGTTAATCGTTAGTAGATTTTTGAATAGGATTTATAATAAGAAATGGGAGGATAAGGGGTACAACACTCCTGTCTGCAAAACCTCGCAAATCTTAGTCGTATCATTGTATTACGACATCATATCTTCCCAATAGGATCGTATAAGGATGATACAATAATACGATCGTGGTTTTGTTGGCCAGGGTTTTGTAGCGGAACCCAAGCCATTAAAAATTCTAAAATAATTTATTTCACAAATATAATTATTATTCATGAATGGAAAACAACTTGAACTTGAAAAATACTATCATTCGCGTATGTACCTGGGGCACACTAAAAGTGTTATAAATTTCAAAATTGTGAATATTATTCCCATATGTACCTGGCGCACTAAAAGTGTTACAAATTACAAAATTGTGAATGTTATTGTAGGGGGCGAGTAGATATCAAGTTGATCGTCATTCTCAAATACTGCGTATGCAACCTATCTCAAAATGTTAAAGAACACTCCAACGAGTACTTTTGTGAGAATTGTACAATGATATAAGGAAGACACGAAATACGTAATAATCTATCTCTACCTTTCCATTATTTTCAAATTCATATTCATTTATTCGGGGAAAACTTCATACCTACAAAAACATAAATTATGTTAATAGATAGTTAATCTCATTTGTTTTCATTTTACAGATTCATGATCCAACTCCATATTGAGAACGAAAATTTTAAATCTAACTTTGATGTTTTGGATTACAAATCATCTAGGCTTTTGGAATGTCTGTTGGGAAACTATTCCATCCAAACAGGTGATAGAATGAGAGGATCTCCACCTCTTTATCCCATACCACTACGGGAAAAGTGGCATTTGCCAACACATGAAAAGTGTTGTAAGAAGTGTTGAAAGTGTTGTATATGCGATAGAATGAGAGGATCTCCACCTCTTTATCCCATACCACTACGGGAAAAGTGGCATTTGCCAACACATGAAAAGTGTTGTAAGAAGTGTTGAAAGTGTTGTATATGCGATATACAACACTTTTTATAGTGTCACCTATAGGTGGTGTTACCTTAAGTAATATGTAACACTTTTTTCATTTTTTGCAACAAAAAAAAAGAGTGTTGCATATGAATACCCCATATACAACACTTTTTTAGGCAACACCTCAAACAATTTATGCAACACTTGTTGACAAGCATAACCAACATGTATAAGTTTTATTCATGACGGATTTTGTCGTCACATAATACGTACTCAATCGTGACAACATTTTCTTGTAACGATTACTATACACTTCTGACGAGTTTGTATCGTCACCAAATGAATTTCAACTATGACCAAATTAAGTTGTTACAAATGAACGCCTCTCTCGCCGTACTTTTGCGACAAAATGAGGTTTTTGTGACGGTGCTATTGTCACAAATTCAGGTTTTTGTGACAAAATTGTAGTATTTTTTCTCATGGTATTTTTGTGATAAATATTTTTGTCATGTATGATAATATTTGTGACGGTCCAAAAACGAATATGTCACACAATTGTTTTTATTCAAATAGCATCAGAGAACAATATTGAGGACTTGAGTTATTACAAATACATATTATTGTGACAATAAAATTGTCATTTGTAAGTCTTTTAGTTACAACAGTTGTTCTCATAGAAAAATACATCAATGACGAGACAAGCTATCACGACTACATCTGTAAATTACATTTTACAATGGATCTTAAAATAAATAAGAATCCCTATATAATAACATTCATCAATCGTGAAAAAGCATTTGCTTGATCACCCCTTCGATCATGTAATTGCTACTTTCATTGAGTCTTGGACTCGATTGCGTCTGGCAAGGCAGCAAAGCAAAGTACATCACAAATAATTAGCCTATAAAACATTATGAAAAACATGAAAGATTAGCAAAAATCACTAATATTGAATCTACAAGAACAATATAATGGTGTGTTAAGGAGTATTTGAGGTCGTGAAAACAAATATATCTACCTGTCCATTGACGATAAAGTATAAGAAAATCCCCATATAATGAGAGAGATCACACATGATTGATACCATGCATCCTGGATTAATATCATGAACAACAAGTTATCAAAAAATGGAGAGATGGAGGAAGCTACAACCGATTCTACTAGTTTACTCTCCTCCATTGAAATCCTTCATGTTGTGAATGACGGGGCCAAGGAAAAAAAATACATCAGCGGGACCTTTTCTATGGAAGATATGATGATATTAGTTTTTCTTAATCAAGCCCTTTGATTACTCTAGGGTTTAAAAGCATAAAGTCGTTGGGATTTACCTTTTCTTTCCTTTCTTTTCTTCAGACGTTGGGATTTATCGTTAGCCGTTTGTTTTGGGAGTTTTAAACTTGTATGTCTCTATTGTAATCTGTCGATCAAATCAATTACTATTAAATTTAGATTCTTTTGAGAAAAGAAGTACAACACCTTCCAAATTCTAATAATTAAACTTATAATAAATAAATTCACATATGGATTTATTATTAAAGAAATAATTAAAGTAATTTTTAAAGTAATTAAAGTACAACACCTTCCAAATTCTAAAAATTAAACTAATAATTTTTAACAGTAGAAGATATGAATATTGTATATGGAAGGTGGTAATTAAAGTAACTTTCTATGAATATCATATTAGATTTTTTATAGTGGCAAAAAGTGGATTTTCTTCATATAAAATGAAAGAGCATGACTAATGACTCTTAAGTATTTTATAAAGAAGGAAGCCAACATTTTTTTCAAAAATGTAACCTTTTCCTAAATTCATTAGGGTATTTCACAAGTCAAAATATATATTTTTGTGTTTCTAGAAGGAAATATCATTTTAATAATAAATTAAAAATTAATAAAATAAAATTTTTCTTATACTAAGCTTACATTGTTAATAGCTTGTATAATGATATTGCCTAATACAACATTGAGGACCGTATAAGTGAGAGCATAGTTTTACAGATAAGGAAGGGTAAATTTTACATGAGCTAAAAACTATATTTCTTATTTGTAAAGATGCCACCATTCAATTTTTGCTTTTAATAAAATGCAAGAGCAGAAGGAAGAGTCTACTAAAGGTGGAGGTAGTCGATATGATAAAATAGAGGATTTTGGCACTCGATATGGTTTGATAGAAAGATGGTATTAAAGGAGAATTGGTCAAAATTAAGAGAGAATAAACTATGGGGTAAAGTAGAACCGAGATTATATGGAGGTTAAGAGAATTCAGAAGGATTTGAGGAATTTAATAATTTATAGAAATTCATGGATATGTAATACATAATGAGGGATTGGGTACAAGAATGCTTGGACGCTAGAACTATTGAAAATATGTCGGAAAACATTCTTACCCTCAATAATAATAACTAATCCTTAAAAAATACATCCCCTATGAAAGATTATTTCCATCGAGAATCGACCCGAATTTGTATAAACTTTTACCTGAATTTCCAATTCAAGACCCAACACTCTTTCGCTTCCAATTCACTCCAGCTCCCGCAATGAATGCACTAATAAAGAAGAAAGGCTCTCAATGCACAATCTGAATGGAAATTTTCCAATTGATGTTGCCAACAACCACAAAGTAGTTGAATCATCCTTCTTGATCACACTTGTTGCTTCTTTGACACCGAGATATCCATCAAATCTTTCAAATAAATCTCCACAAGTTCATTTAAGACAATCAATGTGGGTTCAAATGATGTAAATGATGGTGTTGGCCTAATTGATGAGAGAGATGATCTTGGTATCCTAGATTGATTAACGTAAATAGAGAATTATAGGAGAATTAGACAACATAAGATAAATAAGTAGACAATGAGACGAGGAAGAATCGAGACTAGAAAATTAGGGGGTCAGAAGAGAATTAATAAAAATACAAGGAGATATAGAATAAAATTATTGTTTCAAAAGGGCTTAATTGCAAGTTTGGTCACTCGAATTGCTACAAAATTTTACGTTTGGTCACTAAAATTGTTTATTCCATTAGCAGTCACTTAAATTAGTTGAACAGTCCAAGTTCGGTCACTCTCCGTTAACCTCCGTTAGACTCCATTAATGACGACCGTTAAGTGATGACGTGGCTAACAGAAAATCACTATCGCATATTTTAACCCTAAAAAATGACTACCCGACCCGCCACATCAGATTTGCCCGCCATGTCATCCTTCCCTTCCCTACCCAACGTGAAATCGGAGACAACGATTCGTTCAGCCAAAGAAAGAAGGAAAACGAAGTAGAAGTGAGAAGAAGATAAAGCGATTTGGACTTCCGTTGGTTTGTCTCTCGAACCGCCACATCTCTTCTGGAAACCCCATATCCCCTGCCTGCCGCCGCCATCGCCAACGACCCACAGCCCACCGAGTTCGTTCCTTACTGCGCGCCGAGTCCCGATTTGGAAATCTTGCTTCTTGATAACCGACCAGTTCACCGGACTTCTTAGACGCATATACTGCAAAAAAATTCCTCCTCTTGTCTAATTCGCATTTTCCTATCGCCGGTTTGTGTTTGTTTAATCTGTGAATCGGCAAAGGGCGGAAAGGGTTTTGGACGCCGGTTTTGTGTCATCGTCTCGTGTTTTTCTTTGTGCTACTTCGCGACTTCGTTTTCTTCTCCTTTAGCAATGTCTGGTTCCAGTGGAGTTACGACGGCCAGAGCCCGCGGAGAAGGCCGATGCTACGTTTCTTCAGCCATGCGCAAGCCTCATGTGCAGCTTCAGCAACAGCAGAAGCGAAGGAGGAATCAACAAAATAGTCAGCAGCTGCCGCAAGAAAGGTATCAGCCGCAACAACAACAACAGCAGCAGAAGCCTGCGAATCCATCGATGAATGGTACTTCGCCTAAGATCGAGAAGAGGGTAGATGCCGATCAATGTCATTAACAGAGGTTAACAGAGAGTGACCGAACTTGAACTGTTCAACTAATTTATGTGACTACTAATGGAATAAACCAATTTTAATGACCAAACGTGAAATTTTGTAGCAATTCGAGTGACCAAACTTGCAATTAAGTCGTTTCAAATGAATAGAATTAAGGACTAGGGAGGAGAACAGAGATAGGTTTGAGATAATTGATTAGGTAATAATGTACAAATATATACGAAACAACCCAAAACATAATACTATTGGACCATTGACTTACCGCCACGCAAAACTCACAAAACACAAAGAATAATATCAATCTCACAGCTTCCCTTCTAAATAAATGCATATTACAAGAATAATTAACATGAACAAAGTAATAACTAAGTATTCCTTCACTAGAATCAGATAATGAAGATAATGGCGGTGTTGAGAAGAAGAAAGAGACGATTTGATGGCATACAAGTTTTAATTGATACGGGCCTCTAGAGCATGACTACCTATTCCAAGTTCATTAATTGACAAATGGCAATCTGATTAGCTAATAATTATGTTATATATGCTTTGATTGTGATAATATTCAGGACATGGGAATAGATCAGGTCCGGTTCAATATAATTCACCATTTTCATTAAATTTACGGTATCCACTATTTTATTACACACACCTAACTCTTATTAGGCATTTTGTCCATTAAAACTTATAGATCTTAACACATCAGTTCATTGCAAAAATTGATACGACACACAAAAGGTGGAATTACTTAATTGAATTGGAAGACAAAGTAAAAATGGTATTATCTTGGAATTACACAATAACTAACTCTCATCGTGCTACTCCACCCAACACATCCCACCCTTCCCAGCTGTGCTTCCTTTCTTTTCAAGGACATTAAAAATGACAACAACAAGATAATTCAACCATTATTAACATGAAATTGGATTTGATATATTTCGGTAATGAATAATTGAATATACATGTCAAGTGATTGAATATTTAATTTTCTGCAAAATAGTTTATATTATTTTTCTTTGCGTAGTTTATATTACTAATGCAACAAAAAATAACATTTTTCATAATAATTAGCAATGCATGGGCCAAAATTCAACAGCTTAAGTGCATATTACAATATTACATTATGGTTAATATAAAGACCTTCTATATTTGTGTCTTAGTAAAAAATGGATATATGCATTTCATACGAGGCTACATTTTTCTTGTACTCACATTTGGTTTGCATAGGAACATAAAATGAGGTGATTTCTTAAGTGGTGTGGGGTTCCCTTTGCCTATTTATATTTTGATGGGATGTACTGATTTAATAATTTTGAGATTAAGCCTTTACCAACTACAAAATAACGTATACTACAACGATTTCTATTGTTTTTAATGTCATTACCATCATTATACGATTTAGGATCAACCTTTGAGTGGCGGACAAAACAACAGAGGCCGACTTTGTTGTAATTGATAGAGTGGGAGCTCGATTTTTTGGAATGTCGGGTAAAAGACTATTCCAAGACAGTTATAATTAGAGGACCACTACCTACTCATGTCCTACAAATTGACTGAATGATGTTGAATGTTCGACATCAAACTTACAGATTATAACATCGCTTATCTAACAAGTGAGGAGATAATTATCAAGATAGTGAAGAATGAGGAATAGCAGAACACCAACGATCTTCCCGACTTGATCGAGGTAAATTCTAATTGAATAAAAACAATGATCAATATTAATTACAATTTGTGATATTCGCTTTTTTATATGGATTTTTTTACTATGTAGAGGCTATACTTAGTTATCTTCTTTAATCTAATTGATATCTTGCAAAGGCCGGATGAAGGAAGTTAATGGTTTAGTTAACATAATTGGCTGGAATGAATTATATTCAAAATAATCAGCCTCTGGTTAAAAGGTGGAGAACACCCTTTTATTTCTTTCACTGCCTGCTTGGAATATAGCGGATTTAGTATTTATAATTTTGGTACTCAATGGGGAACTTTGCTTTTGTTCCCACTAACTTGCAATTAATTTTATTTGGCTACAAATTTCTCAACATATATTGACCACTTATGATTCGATGAAATCACACAATACGTTGTACTTTGGAATGTCAATGATCTAATTAAATTCATTATGCTGATGCAGGAGAACAAGAATGACACTGCTAATTGTGAAGGTAGTGGATCCGGTGCTATAGATGATTATGATGTTGAGAAGAAGAAAGACATTGTTCATGAGGAAGATATAAAGACTGGTGATGGGGACAAAGAACAAATCCTAGAAACTGTTCGTAATTT